AAAAAAAACGTGTTCCATGTTCTCTCTTTTGCAGGCTGAGTAGCGCGGGCTTGGTCTACAGCTTCTATGGTGAGCGAGTCATACAAAGTATTTTGCAACGAGAACGAAATATTCAACTATCARAAGCCAATATGAAATTGGCTTTCCTGCAAATCTATCGAAATTTTATATGCGAGMTCGATGCCATTGACAATGGCGTGCCCATGTTCGAAGGTGGAGAACCACGCTACAAGATATCCACGCATCTGTCGGCACGCATAGGCAAACTGAATCCCTCGTGGCAGGATACGAATTCGGATACTGACCAACGCTTCCACATGGCCATGTCAGTTGCGGGCAAGGAGTTTGTCGAGAACGTACTGGAGGTTGCCTGCTCGTGGATAGCAGCCCGCGATCATGTGCGTCTGGCCTTGGAGAAAGCCGCGTCGATACACGAGAGCAGGSAAATCCTTCTGCTGGAAACCTTCTGTCCGTGGAAGGTACATTTGGACAGCCTAGAAATGGAATATGATGTTAAGGGTGTGGCGAAAGTGGTAATCTTCAATGACGGAAACAGCTGGCGTGTTGCTGGAGTTCCTGTCACACCTACTAGTTATGTTGGGCGTAAATTTCTGCCCACACCTTGGCGAGGTCTGCGCGATAAAGAGCTGTGCCAAGTGGCTGGAATTGAAGACCTCACATTTGTGCACCACACAGGTTTCATCGGCGGTGCCAAGACCAAGGAAGCGGCTTTGGCTATGGCACTGAAGAGCATTGATTTTGCCGACGAGTGAACRGCTTTTAAATAAATTTATAGTCAATCATATCCTTTCCTTACAAATTTTATTTGTTTCTTATTTTGAAAAATAATGAATGAAATGCCTAATCCATGCGAGTTTTCAAGGAACGCTCCGTAATCTTGTCCTTCTCAATAATGTAGACCGTGGCACCCCAACCACTCATCGCATCACGATCGAAAGCGTTTACCATCGATTGTGAAATCACCTCGAACAATTGGTCCGGCTCCAGGTCCGGGCGCCATAGTGTCTCACACATGCCATACAACTGCTCGGCACAGGTTCCAGCCACAACAAAATCATCAGGCTCATTGGGGCAACCGATTAAGTCCATGTTGCAGATGAATGGCTTCATAGTTTTTGGATCCAGGCCAGCTACCACCGGCTCAATAAAGTAGGGTCCGAAGCGATGTTCGTAGAGAAAACTGGATAACATGGCTGAGAATGGTTTGGGTGCCATTTCACGATTCTCTTTTGTTTCATAGATATTCTTGCGGAACATAAGACGATCACGCACCGTCAATATATCCGTTTGGAGTCCAGTCAATCCCAGAAACATACGCGGRGCAATGTGAAACACTTTCTTGAAGTCTGTAGAAATGGTTTGGGCCTGCACTCCGAAGCGATGATCGGTTGCAATCGCCACACAGTCCTTGCCCCGCATGGCGACCACGCAACCACCGTTATAGGCCAGAATAGACATAGTTAATTTGATTAAATTCCGTAAATAAGACTGGCGTAAATAAACCTTGCAAAATTAAATGCTAAACGCCGCTCCGAAGATGACTTTTTGTTTCTGCCACTATTGTTTGGCGTTGCCAGAATGCTCTTAATATTAATGTACTAAATGAAACAGCAAATTTTTTGACACAACANACCTCACATTTGTGCACCACACAGGTTTCATCGGCGGTGCCAAGACCAAGGAAGCGGCTTTGGCTATGGCACTGAAGAGCATTGATTTTGCCGACGAGTGAACGGCTTTTAAATAAATTTATAGTCAATCATATCCTTTCCTTACAAATTTTATTTGTTTCTTATTTTGAAAAATAATGAATGAAATGCCTAATCCATGCGAGTTTTCAAGGAACGCTCCGTAATCTTGTCCTTCTCAATAATGTAGACCGTGGCACCCCAACCACTCATCGCATCACGATCGAAAGCGTTTACCATCGATTGTGAAATCACCTCGAACAATTGGTCCGGCTCCAGGTCCGGGCGCCATAGTGTCTCACACATGCCATACAACTGCTCGGCACAGGTTCCAGCCACAACAAAATCATCAGGCTCATTGGGGCAACCGATTAAGTCCATGTTGCAGATGAATGGCTTCATAGTTTTTGGATCCAGGCCAGCTACCACCGGCTCAATAAAGTAGGGTCCGAAGCGATGTTCGTAGAGAAAACTGGATAACATGGCTGAGAATGGTTTGGGTGCCATTTCACGATTCTCTTTTGTTTCATAGATATTCTTGCGGAACATAAGACGATCACGCACCGTCAATATATCCGTTTGGAGTCCAGTCAATCCCAGAAACATACGCGGRGCAATGTGAAACACTTTCTTGAAGTCTGTAGAAATGGTTTGGGCCTGCACTCCGAAGCGATGATCGGTTGCAATCGCCACACAGTCCTTGCCCCGCATGGCGACCACGCAACCACCGTTATAGGCCAGAATAGACATAGTTAATTTGATTAAATTCCGTAAATAAGACTGGCGTAAATAAACCTTGCAAAATTAAATGCTAAACGCCGCTCCGAAGATGACTTTTTGTTTCTGCCACTATTGTTTGGCGTTGCCAGAATGCTCTTAATATTAATGTACTAAATGAAACAGCAAATTTTTTGACACAACAGCACCACTTTTTCGTACGGAAGTGTTATCGAAATGACATAGATAACGTAAATAATATAAAGAAAATATGGGTATTCCTACATTCACTGGATTTAGTTTCAACTAGAAACTCTAATGTGATAGACTTGTTTCAAGAGTATACCATTGCTATGATTGTTTTTGTCGTTCTATTACTAATATATCGAAGCTAAAAGGCACAGATACCAAGCACACCTGACTCAACCTCCTGTCGCACTCCKCACATATCTATCGGTAYCTCTCGAGAAGCGATAGCCCAATAACCAAGCTAGATAGGCCCCTAACGAATTTGAKCAATCTAAATATGGTTGAAACCATTTTCAAAACAAAAATATTGACATTATTATTTATATCCATATCTGTAGGTTGCTGGCATTTTTTAAGGCTGTTTAGCATCATCGATAGACACCTATCGACGGCTGTCAAAGTAATCGGTTAGAAGTATCTTGCAGTAGCACGATGTCCTTTTAAAACTGTATAAAATTGTACATTAATAACAACACTAGATGCTCGAAGTGGCGACGGTTGAGCTTAYGTTGTTTCATTGCTCGCGCACAGTTTTATCACAACCGAATCAAAACAAGCAATAGCACCCAACAGCAGCAACTACCTGGAAAGCCGATAGGTAAGCCGACTGCAGCTTGCTTGCACAACAACAATATAACAATTGGTGAAAAATTGCTAGTGCAACGGCAACAAATATTTGGCATACTACACACAGATAAATCCATCAATCAAAATGGCTGAGGCAATGGTCGTTGAAGAGCACCCCACGGTGCCAAAGCGTTTTTTCTGTCACATGTGCAATGTGGAGATCAACATTCCGAACACCGATTACACTTGCCCACTCTGCTCGTACGGATTCGTTGAGGAGCTACCAGCAAACGCACCGGAATTGTCAGCTTCCACCAGTAACAGTGCTTTGAATCATGACGCGGTTAACTCAGATGCCAGCATAGGCGGTACCAATGCCGTTAGCAGTGGCAGCGGCGCTGGCGGTAGCGGGATGCTCAACGTTGAGTCACTGAGGAACGATATTGTGTCGTTGCTTAGCATGCGTAATGTGCCTAACTTGGAAATAACAATCGAACCAAATCGACGTCACACCAATGTTGTGCACTTGGGTGGCCCCTCCGGTGGCAGTGTATCAAGCGGTTCATCAGGTGGGGCGTCCAGTATTGGTGGTGGTCGAGTGCGACCGGCAAGCTTGGATCGTTTGGACAATGTACTATACGATTTTYTGCAAAGTTTGCCTTTGGCTGGCGCCACAGCCGAGATTGTAACCGGTCCAGGTGGGAGCGGTGGTGGTGGCGGCACTGGCCATTCCCATATGTTCTTCATGGGCAATCCGGGCGACTATGCGTGGGGTCGGGAAGGCCTCGATACGATCGTTACACAGATGCTCAACCAAATGGARACAGCGGGTCCACCACCATTGTCCACGCAACGCATCAACGAAATACCAAATGTGAAAATTAGTGCCGAGGAAGTGGAACGCAAAATGCAGTGCTCTGTTTGTTGGGATGATTTCAAGCTGGATGAGTCAGTGCGCAAGCTTCCCTGCTCGCACCTGTATCATGAAAACTGTATTGTGCCATGGCTGAATCTGCACAGCACTTGTCCCATTTGCCGCAAATCGTTGGCCAACGATGATGACAACGACGACGCCGCTTCCATCGATGAGGACTATGCGCTGCTGAACAACTCTGCCGATGAGAATGGCAGYGGACGCGCCAGTGGCAGCAGCAACTCTACTGCAAGAGCTCCAACGTCCACCAATGCATCTAGTCAAACAACAGCCGCACAGACGGATCAGACAACAGCAACGGCAGCCACGCAGCAGCGCAACAACGTGTTCACTTTTGATGATGACAATATGTTTTTGGACTAATTCCTATATTATTATGCATAGGGATCGGGTCGACTGCAACGGAGCGGTTCGRAATGTGGATGGTAAACCTGATATTCAAAATTAAAGCCCACGCAGCTCAAGCGTTAGCACATAAAATCCAAAAAGTTGCTTATATTTATAAAAAGAAAGAAAGAAAAAAAAAACTCAACGAAAATTATTATAGATACGCTTTATTTTTGTTTTGTTTCGAAAAGGGCTCGTAAACAATATTTGCAAATTTGTTGTTCTTAATTTTACATATTCACAGCAGTAAAATGCTGTAAGCATAGTGAGGCGAATTTTGACACAAGTTATGTATAAATTAAAATCAATTACATATATTTATAGTAATACAAAAGAAGAAGAAGATAACGAGGCATTGTATTTTCGCTTTGATCTAAATATAACAATAACGAAAGTTGTTTATTTAAAGATAACCTGTAACTAGCTACTAGTTAAAAAACTAATATGTAAAGCACTTTAAACTACCTGTGAAATTATTAATCACAACAAATTATTTAATAAAAATATTACAACAATATCAATTTTTAAATTGCAGCTGCGCTCTAAAAAACGAATATATTAAAAAAAGATATGCGTCAGCTGTAATAGAAC